CAATGTGATAAACATGGTTCTACACAGCTGAAGCACCAGCATTTATTCCCACAGCAACTGGTGTTAAAATTGTTGAAAAAAATGTGATATGTGTTGTTTGCAATAGTTAGCAGAGTCAATAATCGCTGTGAAGGAATTTTGGCCCATTTTCTTCCTAACCCTTACCTTAACTCAACCTTATTGGAATATTTTCAATGCACTCATGAAAAGCATTCCGAGTAATTTTGGTTGGCCAACGACACTCCAGGTTCACTACTGTTCAGCGTTCTCACCATTTGTGGATTATGGCTCTGGCCGTGATTGATGCCTGATTTGATTTCTGACATCGGCAGAGTCGTTTCTGGAAGACAACATTAGCGTACACAGGCTACCATGTGTTTTTGATGCAACGCAATCTCCAGGTGCACGTTAAGTTCATGCAGCGTCGACTATGGATTACGGAAGCAATAGTAAGGCTGCATCATTGAAAAAAGGCATCTCGCATTAAGTGCTGCTAAACTATGGCAACAGATGGCATACAATACAGTGTCAGCGTAATTAAATCAGTTTTTTAGGACCCTTAATTAGCAATTAAATATTATTTCAGGACGTTAGCAAGAGTTTGTGATGGGAAAATAAAATGCCTAAAACACAGTCTCAAAGACAAGTCAAGTCAGCCGTTACGCCGCGACACACTGCTGGGTACAACTTCTAAATAAAACATCATGGCATTGGTGTCCATAAAATATTTGGTAAGGTAGGGTATATTTTGAAGATGGCATGAACAATAGTTGCTGCAGTTAGCTTGACCAGAGCGAATCAGTTGCCTCCATCTAACCCTGTTTTGTGTGTCCTCTTCTCTCACACCAGCTACCTTCATGTCCTCTTTCACTACATCCATAAACCTCCTCTTTGGTCTTCGTCTCAGCCTCCTCCCTGGCAGTTCAATCACACAGAAAGGGCTAACAAAAAATTTATGATGCATCAGTCAAATAGAGTCCAGCCCTGCATCACACATTTGAGAGGGTGCACAGTCCAAGCAAGGAGTGGCAGAAAGAAAGCGCTGGCCACATCATGTGTAAACCTTCCAGGCCTGCGGATGACGTTATCTCTCCTTTAGACTGTGAGCGATTCAATGCCCTGGTAAAGAAATGTCTCGGATGAATGAGAATATCCACAAGCACACTGTGTCTACATTTACATGCTGTCAACATTCGGGCTAAGGTCAAAAGTCTGGTTTCTACACCATTGGGATTAACCCACTGACGTCAATCAATTGGAATACCCCAATCTAACCATCCATGACATGACATCCATCTAATCCATGACACACAGACAAGATCACAACACAAATACAGTACACGTCATTTGCGCTTCTTACTTTCAACCCTCAATAAAAGACATATCCATGTCTTTAACCACACTAATTAAGTAGTCTGCTTCCTCCAGGCTCTAAAAGAGTGGTGCTGTACTCTGTCTCTGAGTTTGGCTATATGTTTACCTTTGCTTTTCTATTTCCAGTTGGTTGCGTGCCCAACATGGGATAAAAGTAGTTCCTGTACTCAAAAAAACAATATTCTTTCTGAATTTAGCACATGCAGAAAACAAATTAATGTTCTTGTCACTGGGGATATTCAGATTTGTGTTTATATTACCACATTGTCAAGTTCGAAAAGAACTACCCAGGTGGTCTTAGTCAGGGCTTTAAAACAGGAATATGAACATATTTGGGGTTTTGTGGGTGTTTAAATGGCCTTGCACAACTGGAAGATTATTAATGTTCCAATTTTAAAAGAGTTATTACTGCATGTCACCGTAGTCTGTGTGAGATATTATTCTGGCCCCAACAAAAGCTGCACTTTACATCACTGGCAGTTGAAGAGGATTTTCTGACTTGAAGCCAACCCAAAATGGAAGGCAAGCAGAGACCAGCATAAAATTCTGACTGAATCATATTAAATGTTAAGCCAAATGTTGCTCACACCTGGATGACACTATACATGGCGCTCAGGTGAAGCAAGTGTAACACAGATTTTTGGTTTATTTGGTTTTGGTCCGAAACATGCACACTGACTGCACCACGACTCAATTCAATGCAATTATCCCCTCACAAAGCACTCCCAGCTTGAGCCAAACGCTGTTCCCCACCCCCCTTTCTTCCCTTTTCCCGCCCTGCATAAGAAAACCCATGGAGCCATGTAGTCACTGCAGTCTCTTTCAGCACAGCATCAACAATTTAACGTCCAAATTCAGCGATGATAACGAACATGGACCATACGAGGCATCACGGCCTTGAAAAGTGACGTACATGTGCCATTAACAATCCAAGTAAAGGGTCGGCCGTGTGAATTTTATGTACATTATTCTGTGTCCATGCAACAGTCCCACTAAATGTCTGCACGACCAACAATGACAAACTGACCTGAAATTGACATTCAAATCGGGTTTGGTGGCCTCATTGACTACTCATAGCTCAGCCCATACAATTTCATGTACGGTTGTTCAACACAAGCATGTCATTTACTTAAACAATGAACTTACTGTGCATGGAAAAAAAAACACGAGATGAAATATTCTTGTTTTCAACAAGGCAACGAGGAGAACTGCATCCGCCTTGTCATTGTGAGTGCCGGGGTTGTGTATGTACGAGTGTGGAGCTCCTATTGCTGGAGGGCTCCATTAAGAAGACAATAGCCAATGAACTAAAGCGCGCAAGGGCCATGTTATCGCTACTCCAAATGGTCTTCGCCCAGCACATGGCAAAAGCTGCATTCATCTTTGAAAAAAAAAAACAGTTCGCAAGTGTCTCGTGGTTTTAGCGGACAGCAAGGTGCTCACAACATCAAACTTTGGCCAACGCATTCCTTACCTTGACAAACAGCTCGATAACAGGCTCGTTGTCCGCCTTTACGCCGTTTTGCGGTACCGACAGTGACATGGCGACCGCTACTTTCTCTTAACTTCAGCTGGAAGGAAAGGCTACTTTTGCTCTGGTCCACCACGCCCAACGTAAGTCGCTCCTTTTCTCCACCCCTTTCCCGCACCGAAGTCCACGCTGTGCTTTGTCTGGGCAGAAAGAGCCCGCCGCGGGCGCTGGAGGTACAAAAGCCCAGACGAGGAGTCGAGCCGCCACGCGTTCGCGCCCCAATGTCGCCGTGCAAGACTTGAACTGGGAGATAAAGTGACGTCACTGGAGTGAAATTCTTGCTAGTTGAGCAAAGAAGCCGACAAGTTCAGCAACTGGGTTTTATTTTTATTAAACGTAACGTTATCAACAGCGGTAAAATACGAAAATGTGGGAGGGAATGAGAGGCGGAGTAAAGATGCCCCCGTGAGAGCACAATAATGGTGGATTCGCCCCGGATGTCCTGATGTGGATATTATCGAGTGTTTCCCAACCTTTATTGAGCCACAGTACATATTTTACATGATAAAAATCTCACTGCACAACACCAATGTCACGAAGGGGACATTCACATTATATCGAAACAATCTCCTCTCAATTTAGTGTCAAATCTGAGTGTTGCGCAGAGCAATTGGGAATTACAGTTCTAGACTTTTTTACAGTGGTTTCAACTGCACACGATGGATTTCCAGTTGATTGTGGTGAATAGGTAAGGCTACAAATGTTTTAAGTACTCAAGAAAACCATCCGTTTTTTCTGAACCGCTTTATCTTCACAAGGGTCGGGGTGGGGGTGGTGGTCGGGGGGTTATCCCAGTTGTCTTCGGGCATTAGGTGGGGGACACCCAGAACCGATTGCCAGCCAATCGCAGGGCACACAGAGACGAACAACCATCAGCACTCATACTCACGTCTAGTGACAATTTAGAGCAGGGGTTTCAAACTCATTTTTGTTGCGGGCCACTTTGGTGTTACATCTTCCCTCGGAGGGCCGATGACAGTGAAACTGAATAAATGTTTAATCATCACATCGTATTATTACTTTTACACAACAAAAATGATGGCTCACTAGTTTTGAAATCAGTCAAGTATTTGTTAAATTATTGCTCAAGTGAATGTAAACAGGATAACAAACTAATTGCAAAATATTAGTTATTTATTACTTACGACAATTTGGTCCAGATTTAAGCAAGGATCATGGAAGTTGACACAGATGATTTGCCACATAAAATGACATGGCGGGCCAGATCTGGCCGCTGGTCCTTGATTTTGACACCTGTGATTTAGAGTGTTCAATGAGCCTGTCACACATGTTTTTGAAATGTGGGAGGAAACCGGAGTACCCAGAGAAAATCCACGCAGGCCCGGGGAGAACATGCAAACTCCACACAGGAAGGCCGGAGCCGGGATCGAACCCACAACCTCTGCATTGTGAGGTCGATGTGCTAACTAGTCGACCACCGGGCCACCCCCTCAAAAAAACCATCAATTCCAATACAGGTATGTCCCAAATCATCCAAGCGCATGCTGTTTGACCATTTGCTTCACAGCGAAAACGAGGTCCAATAAAGAAAACATTTTAAAATGTGCTTTTTCAAGACGAGTATAAATCCCGATTTTTATGATGTGCTAATGCTTTACACCAAAAGCATTCACATCTGACCTGTCTTTTCCCTTGAAATAAATTACGAAATTATAATGAATCAAAATACTGTAATTGACTAAAAGCCATCTACAGATTCAATTGACTTAAAACTACAGGATAGTATACTGGTTTGAAAACCCTCCAAAATGTAACGTATTATACTAAATAAGCACAGCTCTATTGTGATACATTTTATTCCAAATTAGTAAAGGGTCATTAGTAATTTGTTGCTCCAACCGGGATTCGATAGCACCACATTATTTACTTGGACAATACATTTTTGGCTGGATGTAGCTAAGTAATAAACCTAGGTTTGGGTTTAAAACTCTTTCAAACAATATTTGGATGTCAGCGTTCAATTACCTAATGTGAATTATTTTCACATTCATCAATTTGATAATTTACCCCATTCTTTGTTTGACTATATCTAAAAATAGCAATGGTATTTCACAGATTTCATTGGAAACATTAAGAGATTCTATAAAAAGGTTTTAATTCTGAAAGGTTGACAAGACAAATAAGGGGTACTAAATACAAAGCAAAGCAGTCCCACACGGATTAACTTGGAACAAGGATGTACCCCAAAAAAACAAACAAACAAAAAAAATCTAGTTGGATAAATTAAAGCATCCTCTCTGAATGAGTCACAATAACCAACTGGTAAAGAAAATTGTGCACTATTTGAGGACCAAAACAATTTAACACAGAAGTGGCACTGCTCCACATGCACACCACAGTCACTGCACATGCAATCACTTCTTAACAGGAGTCTACTTTTGGTTGTGGAAAAGGTTGGGGGGAGTCTTTAAATCAACCCTCAATTTACATGTTCCCATGCTCATCAATTTAGTAGTAATGGACAACACAAACTTTTTACAGTTTAGCTGGTAGGCTGACAAATCACACTGAAAAGCAATGCCTCAAAATGTACCAAATCTGTAAAAAGAAAGAAAAGAAAATGCAACATCACCAGTTTGTACATTCTAAGTTGAATCAGTTTATCACAAACATCAAGGTTAATGTGAAAAGGGTGGGGGAGGTGGAGGGGCGCTCCTTGAGAATTAGGACATCTGTGAGGGAGACACCTGGGCCTTCCTCATGGAGCGGAGGGCCTTCTCTCTCAGGTGTTTCTCCAGATCATCCAACGTGTCCTCCACTTCACTCTCTGATTCCTGGAAAAGACCAACCACCTGTGATTATTATTACTAAACCAGGGAGAGAAACAGTCCGTCAAAAAAATAATAAAACATATCTCCTACTTCGATGTTCTATGCCGTTTACTGAAAAGCCACCAGAAAACCTCCGTTGCTAAAGATGACAAACAGACATAACCTTTCTTGATTCACCATCTTCATCCCCACCCTGGTTCTGCTGGGTCTCTCCACTCCCGGTGTTGCCACTCTTCTCCTTCTTATGCTTCTTGTGCTTCTTATGTTTCTTGTCCTTCTTATGCTTCTTTTCCTTCTTCTTCTTCTTCTTTTTGGCGCTGCCATCAACATCTGAATTCTGAAATTCAACACATTACAAGCCAATTACAAAGATTAAAAGGAACAATCGACTGAAATTGTGACAGTCAATGTGAGAACAAGGATAAGTGGATCAGAAAATGGATGGATGAATTTAAGAACAGCACAGACCTAAAACAACTTCCCTAAAACTCTTGACATTGCACAACATATCTCAAAAATATCATTGTACTAACGGCACGTGCAATTTGCTTATTGCAAAGGTGTAAAAATGATTTCAGACTTTGACCAATCAGATGCAATCTTAAATGTGCATCACCACCCAAATTAACAGTATCTAGGGGCACTAACATTAACTAAAAAAAACAAAAGTAAAATATTGTAATTTATTACAATTAGCCAAGAATACATTGAGTCTAATCATTTTTTAATATTTAGTGAGATAAAAATATACTTTCTTCAGATACATGTTTATCACAATAGTATTGATATTGCAATTTTCACATATTGTGCAGCCTTATTATTTATTATGATTTGAAAATAATCACCACTTGAGTTTGAATACCTTGCTAGGTGATCGGCTACCAGAGCCACTGCTTGCCTTTTTGGCTGGTGGGGGGGAAGCACTAGCAGATCGAGATGGTGAAGGGGAGGCAGATGCGGGGGCGAGGCGTTTCACTGGAGCTGGTTGAGGAGAAAGGGATCGAGATCTGGAGGAAACTCTTCTCAAAGGCTGAGGGCTCAGAGAACGTCTGTAAGATCAATGACATTGACATGACATCATCAATGTTAACCTGCACAAGTTAATCACAGTCGAGTTTCTGTTAAACTTCGATTCACACACTCAATTATTTACTATTTTCTGTTAGGGCAATGAGAGAAAGAATTGACAACTATTATGTGTTTGTTTACTCTTTGAAATGTTTTATGTGCCTCCACTAATCTAAAACAAGATGTTATGATTAATATGCGGTTCGGAATAAGAATCAAGGAGCTTTAGCCACCTCAGGGGGTTGCCATTTTGTCCTGTACTACCAACTGGTGTTGAGTGAAACCGACAGTTCCATTTGAGCTCACCTTGCAAATGTCACATGCCCAAACCCAGAAAACAGTTGAACCATGACGTTCGCAAGCAAAGCCTGTGGGCACTTTGATGTCCATTTCAGTCAACAGCAGGTGACAGAACAAGATAAAAAGGTAGGCCCTTGAGATGGTTAAAAATGGGTGGATTATTATGCTAAATGTTTCCAAAAACACAATATTAATCCGAATACCATGCTCAGACTAGTGGAAGTGCAAAGAACATTTTGCAAAGACAATTTTTGGTTTGACACCTGCTTTAATGATTGTTGGAAGACATGCATACTGAGACAAATCTTTCTCTTTCTGCCTTCGATATTTCGTGTAAGACACCCCATGTCACCAAACAGCGCAGTGACTTTGTCATCCTGTTAATGAGCAAACTGACCGGTTACAAGTTTGAAGACACCTATGATGCTAATTGGGACCAACCTTAGTATAACGTGGCTACGGTCAAATCATTTTCAATCCTGTCTAGGTATATCATGTTTGTGCAGGCCTGTTTCATTAGGGTTTTTTTGTTTGTTTTTCAAATGACTCTGTTGAACCACAACTTAATAAACAAGGTCTGATTTTCACTGCTCAAGTTTCCGTAAATTGTTACCAGTATTACTTGAAGCAGTTTCATGTTATTACCGCTGGAGGCTTTCATTAATAGAGAGGAACCAACAATTTTGTCCTTGTCAATAAATACTATATTGCATAAGCCAATCTTGTTGCGGAACCAAAAAAGGTGCAAACAGTGTCCCATTTACCTCTGAATGTTGCGCGGTTCTGGGGTACGGGAGACTCTTCGTATAGGTTTTTCATTCTGCAATGGAGAGTGTCTCCGCTGGTTGGAGGATTCAAAAGGCCTCGCAGGACTGTTAGAATCTCTGTTAATGCGACTGCGATTTGCAGGGGACTGAGAGCGCCGATTTGCTGCTGCAGCGGGGGATCGTGCATCCCGACTTAACCGGACAGAAGAGGACTTGGGGCTTCTTCTGTGTCTGGGAGGGGATATTGATGAGGGTGGTGTGCGCCTTCGCTGAGTGGGAGAACTTCGGCGTCTTGGAGATCTTGAAGGACGGCGTTTGTGCCCTGGTGAACCACGTCTAGCAGGAGAGATAGATAATTTCCTCTTCTGAGGAGGCACGGGGCTGTAGCGGCGCTGGATTGGAGGAGAATAACGCCTGTTGGATGGAGAGAGTCTGCGGGGAGGTGGAGAAGGAGACCTGCAAAGCACCAAAGACATTTAGAATAGAGATTTAGTGTTAATTGTACAGGGACAGAGGAGTACAGTTAACGTCAATTATGTTGTCATTAACACCCTGTAAAGTGAAGTCAGTGAGTTAGTTTTTTCCAAATACATTATAAATGTTCAAAGGTAATTTCTGAAAATGTTTTACAACTGACAACTACTTAGGACATAATTGTAGCGACATAGCATGAAGCTGCCATTCTCCATTTCAGTTTTTCAAATTTTTGGGGCTTGGCTAAAATGGGGCTCAGTGACAATCTTAGGTCCCTGGCATGAGCTGCCGCTCATTCGAATCAGTGTATCAATAATATACAGGACAGCTCGGTGTCATTTATTCCCTAAATGTCATATAGTCTGTGTTATTCAGGCCACCACAACACGTTGGAACGTAAAGCATCGTGGGTACAAAATTAGCAGTAAGTATGCACATACTCCAATGTGTCATCCTCCGGCCAAAAGATCTCAAAAAGATAAAACAAAACCCAAAGAAATTCCAAGAACAGTAATATGAACAAACAGGAGACATGCAAAGCGAACCAAAGGAGTCAAAACCAACTGTTTCAAACGGTTTTCAAACTGTTCCATTCCTACGATGTAAATATGTCAATACCTTCGTCTTGGTGAAGGGGACCTGCGACGCCTTACGGGAGTAAGAGAACGGCGTCTGCGTGGACCAGGAGATGGTGAACGTCTTTTCCTGAAAGTGAACCAAGAGTCAAATCAACTTTCCTTTGTTAACAAAAATAAAAATATATATATCATGTGTCTTGCCTAGGAGAGGCCTCTCTCTGTCGCCTCCTCGGGGAAGGGGTGTGGCTACGCCGCCTTTTAACGTCACCATTCCTCGCACCCGGTCCTCCCTTTGGTCTCTTGGATGCTTCGTCATTTGAGGAGGAAGATCCTGAGTCTGAATTTAAAAAAAAAAAAAGTGTTTTAGCAAAGTAGGGCTGGCAGAGTAAAATTCATCATACCTGAAGATGACTCCTGATTCTGTCTACGATATTGTCGTCTCTGCTGCACAGAATCCGCAGTTGCGCCTTTCTCGTTTTTATCCTCCTCTGCAACATAAGATGATAAAATGTCCCATCAGTTACAAGTCCCCCTGACAAAGTAATTTCTTTCAGGAAACAGATTTCAATCATGTGAACTGACTTTCAATTTTAACTAATTTTGAATCAGACTTGCACCCAAAATCCCCATTTCCCGAATTGTGTTGATGGTGGCGAACGAGTTCCGGTTGTATCTGAAAGCTTCTAATCCACAGAAAAGTTGATCCTTTTAGTCTGAGTTCAGATGTTTTTGGGTATCTATTCTTTGAGAAAACAAAGTTTTCCCCAAAAATGTGACTTATTGTCCAGTCCATCCATGCATCCATTCTCTACCGCTTATCCGGGGGGGGGGGGGATTAAAGGATTTGGAGGTGCTGATTTTCATCCCAACCACTTCACACTCTGAACTGCTCCAGGGAGAGTTAGAGATCCTGGCTTGAAGAAGCCAACAGCACCACTTAATCTGCAAAAAGCAGAGATGCAATACTGATGCCACAAAAATGGACGCCTCAATGCCTCCGCTGCGCCTAGAAATTACGTCCATAAAGATTATGAACAGAATCTATGACAAAGGGCAGCCTTGGCGGAGTCCAACCCTCACCGATTTACAGTCGGCAATGCAAACCAAATTCTGACAAAGATGGTATAGGTGTTGGTGGAATTGAGGAGGTCTTCAAAGTATTCTGCCCACCGACTCACAGTCTCCTGAGTCGAGGTCAGCAGTGCCCATCCTCACTAAGCACAGTGTTAATGATGCACTGCTTCCACCTCCTAAGACGTCGGCTGGTGGACCAAAATTTCCTCGAAGCCGGTCAGAAGTTCGCTTCCATGGCCTCACTGAACTCTTCCCCATACCTGAGTTTGTGCCGCTGAAGCTGCGTTCCGTTTGTTTAGCTGGTACCCATTAGGTGATGGGACTCCTCCTTTAACTTAACGGCATCCCTTACAGTGATTTCGTGGTTTGCTGCCAAGACAGGCACCGACCACAACTCCAATCGGCCGCCTCAACAATAGAGGCCGGCGAGCCCCACCTCCAGAGGAGGGCCCCAGTGACCAGCGTTCTGGCAAGGGAAAACTGTCTCCAATATTTTTATTGTTTATAAGGGGTCTGTGAGCTGTACTATTGTCCAGTATGACTTTTTTTCCATTTCTTCATGATTCATTTTTGAGTGGTGCAACTATACTCAAGTTATCGTGCAAAAAATACTGCATTTATTTATTTTTTTATTGCATGACTGAACAGTTTTTATAATGGTCCATGAGTCCATAATTTAAATTAACCATAGCTTTTTTTACTTCCATGAACTGCATGTCTGATTAAAATACTATAAAGTTGTTCAACAGCCGATTGCTTTTTCTTGCATGACTCACTTTGCCACAACTATATGACCACCTGTACAATCTGATGGCATGCATCATTCTTTTCCTTACAAAGGCAAAAATGCTCAATTTTGATTGAATTGTCAGAGATGATACTCTCAGACACATTTTAATCATGATTCCATCAGAATTGAAGAGATCCAAAGTACCGCTTGTAACATAAAACTGTGACTTGTGTTTTACACACTATATTTGATGCCATGAAGACTTCTATGAAAACCATAGGTATCCCCTATTGGGACCGAGTACGATAGCAAGGAAGCAAGGTTGAAGACCTTACCAGATGATCTGACAGGAGACGCTGACCCTCTGCCCCTTCTGACCCTTGGAGAAGGTGATCGCCTGTCTTTCCTGGGAGGGCTAATGGCATCAGGAAAGTGGGGCTGTTTTCGTGGCGGCGTGTTGGATATTCTTTTCATTACTTTTTTAGGCGAGTGCGAGCGAGAGGAACTGCTGCCAGAGGATGAAGCAGAACGAGACTGTCTCCTGTGGGTCATATATGACACAATTAGACCGACAAGTGACATAACCCATGAATATAAAACACTAAAGCGGAGACTTTCAGGTAATATATTTCACAACGTTAGAAAGCATTGGCAAAGACGAACCTGCGGACAGGAGAACGCCTGTGTCGGTTTCTGGAGCTGGGAGGGCCCCGTCTGGGTGGGCTTCTTCGACGCGGAGACATTCTCCTTCGGGGACTCTGTCTTCTACGTGGAGAGTAAGACCTAAAAGAGGTTAGAGGATAGTTAGGTTTAAGTAGGACATCTTTTGAAGACAATTCAACATATTAGTTTAACAGAAAATAACCTTGAACGAGAACGTCGTTTGCGGTGGCGAGAATGAGAACGGGAACGGCGCTGAGGTCTTTCCTTCCTACTGTCCTTCTCCCTTTCCCTGGACTTGGGCCTCTCCTCATTCTTATTTTTCTCAGGTGGGAGCTCCTTGTCTTCAGTAATCGTGTCTGCTTTAGCCATCTCGACAACAGTTTCGCTAGAGAAAAGGGGGTATGTTTTGTTTCGAGTAATTGTTTATGAGTGTAGTGTAGAAATACACTGGCAATAGCATAACTTCACTGTGCTGTCTTACTTTTAGTTGAAATATCACTGATGCAGAGGAGATAGTTTAACACAAGCTCAGAACTACACATCTACCCACTAGGACAAGCAAAGTTTCAACACATACCTGGTGGAAGACACTTCTTGGATGACTGGTTCTGGCATGGCTCTTCCTGATGTGTCAGGCTCCACTGGCTGCTCCACAGGTTTTGTGGAAAGCTGCATCAAGGGTGGAGGAGGTGAGCTCCCACCAGGTAGAGTGGCTTTACGTCTTGGGGAGCGTGAAGGGCTACGTTTCCTTTCCCGCCTCAATGGAGACCTGCGCCGTGGTGACGGAGACCTGCGCCTTGGTGATGGAGACCTCGTCTTGCGTCTGGAGATAGGAAAGGTTAACAATGTGTTGGATCAAAACAAAACTATGCTACATTCATCTGACTCTGAAGAAGAGGAACTGCATTACCTTCTCGGGCTCTTTGACTGAGCCCTCTCTCTTGAATCCTTTTTCTCCTCCTCCAACTTCTTCAGAGAAGCAAGCTTCTCCTGTTCAATCTGTATGAAGGGACAATACTATTTGACACCTCTAACAATTGAGCATTTTAAATGTTTTTATTTGTGCAGTCAAAAATGCAACATTACTGTTTGCAATTTCGAGAGAACATCCAAAACATATCAGACTATATTACATTTCACAAAACGCCATTGAGACATTTGTCATATTTGTTTTGGACCAAAAGGTGTCTACATCTCACCTGTCTCTGCTTAATTTCTTCTTTTTTCTGCTCCAAAAATGCAGTTGGGATGCCAGCAATGTTCTCCTGGGCACTCAGCAACAGGGGCCAGAGGTCTCTCATGAACTCTCTGGCATTTTTCCCATTCAGGAAACCCGTCAAGTTAATCTGCATCATCTTGCTATCCGGGTGCTGCAAAACACACGAAGCAAGGGAGAGAGAAAGAGAGAGACAGAAACATAAAGCTGTTGAAATAATGGAACACAAATATAATTTAAGAGGTAGGAGCTCTCAATTGGGAGTGCCTACCTTCCATTTTTCAAGAATATACCTGCGACTGTTTTGTAACTGTAAAAAGAATTGCTTCCTACTGAAATTTATTTTAAAAAAATAAATAATCCAGAGTCCACTACTGGACTCTGGCAACGAGTTTCATTTGAACTCCAATTGAAAACTGAAAGGGGAGAAGAAATCTAGCTGATCAAATCTTGCATGCAATGTTGCTATCATATTGTAATTGCTGCTCCTCTACATTCACGTATACACACAAAGTATATACAAAAGAAATGATCTTATCTTGTATTTATGATATTCATTAAAATTATGTGTCCTTTCCCATCCCATTGTACAATCTCCCCACAATCTACAACTTCAGATTTCTAACAAATAGCCACAATACAGAGTGCATTAAAACCCAACACTTTTAAGTACAGTTCCGGTGTCTTCAGTGAGTCCCGTGGGATCAGTGGGCATGGAGCTCCCTTGGCTTGCTTCCGCCTCACTACTGCTTGAGACTCAACCACCTTGAGCTTAATGTTATATCATTTATCTAAATTGCAAGAGACGAACAAGCAATAATGAGTACAGAGCAACACAAAAAAAGCGTGTTATTCAACAATATCAATTATCATTAATCTTTCTTACCATGGTCTATTTGTAATACCATTTAACTTAGCAAATCTAGGCAGAGCTACCGTAGGTACACATGAATATGTGGTTAACTGGATCTTAATGTACTCCCCACAGGAATCCGCAGTTCCACAATCGCAGAATTTGCCGCAGATTTCAAAGCTCACCGTGGAAGTGAAAGAAGACCGCGGAAATAAGGGCAAGGTGCAGTAGATTAGATTTACATGTAGTTTTCATCCCGGCAGCTAAACGTCCCGGTCGGATAGGCTATGTTCGCGCTGCAGTGCGTGACGCCTAATTCAGATTTTTTGTTAAATCTGCTCTTTTTATGTTTCCGTTCACATTACACAAACAAATGCGTTCTCTACGTTAATTGAACACGTCCATAATGTGACACGCCTTCACACAAAGAGGAAACATGCAAAAGACGACGACATGCGGAATATGATCCAACATGTAGGGCGAGTGACCAACCACTCAAGTGCCACTGAACGGTAGTCCACGGATTGGTCCCAAGTCGACTGGGAGGGGTGTGGGGAAAAAAGAAAAAAAAAATTATGATTTTTTTTTTTGGGGGGTGGGTGTGAACGTGTTATTAATATGATATATATTTTTGTGTTCATGTACAATACATCCTACGCATCCTCTCATTCTCATGTCCACAGAAAAGTATTTAGGAAAATGAAAAAGTAGGTCAGCTTTAAACTACAGTGGCGCATGACCTGCATCACAGAAAGTTGGTTATGGTCAGCAGACTGCAATTGCAGCTCGCAATCAGAGCCTTTGAGATATATCTAGTTTTGGTTTATGCTTGTGTGATCAGCAAGACACCAGTGACATGAGCAAAGAACGGGAATCTGTAGAGCCGAGGCGGCATTTTAAAACAGTACAAGCTATGATAGTGATGTTTCTGCATGAAACACGCTACAAAAGTGTGTCTCTGTCTCCCTGTGTCAGGTCTCCCACTAAGGTAGGCAGTGATTTACTTTTCATAAAACTCAAGAGATATGTCTGTCTTGTATCTGGTTTACTCTTCTGTTTTGTTCATGTTAGGGTCCGTGATGGCTATTGCTAATTGTGGCATGCGAGTACATGTGTGTGTATGTGTGCGCACGTTCACATGTGTGACGTGCATGAACTTGTCAATCGTGGAGGGTTGGCTGCTTAAAAAGCAGCACTTCCGTCAAAAAAGGTAGGGCACCCCCAGTGTAAGGGCGAATTTTTTATCATCTTATATCAACAGAGGATCGAGGAATTATGTGGAAATGAGGCACCGCTTTTACTTTCTCTTCATTCCATGAAGCCGTCCAGTAAAGATGACAAAACGCAACGGAGATATGTACTAAAGATGGCGTAATAAATGAGCGGTCTGTCTGGCTGAATTACATTTGCTATCATACTGTATTGCAGGATTTTTACAACATCCAGGTCAAGTGGATAGTTTACACTTCAAAATTTTGCTTTAATATCACATCTACCTCAAACCCATAGTTTGGTGAAATGTTTTGCACTTTATGCGTCATGAAAATAAATGTTCATTAATAATTATAATCATTCTTAAATAAATCTGCCCTATAAGGAGAAAGACAATACTGATGTTGATTATTTTATAACCACAATGTTCCACAGTGTTTTGGTTTAGCTGATAATTTCTTAAAAGAATGTTTATATCATTCGTACATTAATTTGTTTAATAACTTGGTTATTTTAAGTTAATTTTTTTATGCCCTCCGAAAATCTATTTTTAAGCCGCAGAATCAAGATTTGCTCTCTGCTGAATCAGGATTGTTCTCCGTGGACTCAACACTTTTTCTGTGCGGATTCCTGGGGGGACTATCAATGAACATATTGAGTAGAAGACTGGCAATAGACCTTCAACAAAATGAAAAGAATATCAATGTTAATGCCACTTCTCTCCTCAAATAGGCAGACAATGTGACCGAAAGAATAAATAACCTTGCCAAAAGTCTCTATTTCCAATTTTAAAATGTAGCATACTTTGAAACATAGAATGAGTAACATGCACAGTGTGACCCATAAGTGTGCATTAAGTTATTCTGAGTGACTAATTCCAAGGATTCATTCTTGTTACCAATTCATCTGTCTGAAGTGCAGGAATAATAAGATACGCAATACCTACTGTGTTGGGAATACAATACATAATGTGATCAAACACACCCATCTGTATCACAACCAGGGCAAATATACATGCTACTCAATTGGAAGTTGGTTGAAATCATTCAACCTTCATGCTAAATTAGGATACGTTACTTGTAAAAATGCGTTATCTATTACAATTCCCTCAAGACGACAACTTCAACTACTTTTAAGGGATCTGGAAGTTTTAATGAGCTGAATAATCCTAGGGAGGGTATAATTATGGCATTTTTCAGGTGTGTCGATCACTGGCATAATAATGATCCCTGGATATAACTCACCTCAAAACACACACTGCATCATGAAGGGAGAGTTGGGCTCAGTGACTTTGGGCTCAGGAGAGAGCTAATTAGGTGTTGGTGCTATACTTCTGATGCAAGGTATAACATCCATATTGGTTCAGGCCTTTTAAATCATAAATCACATCATAATTAGAAGTATGCTGAATAAAGTCACTTTGTTACATAACAGCAAAACATTGTTATAATCACACCAATTGCTAATTTAACCACTCAATTAGTCTAAGATGAGCACAATGTGACAATTTCCCTTCTTTAATGAGAAAGCACTTCCCTCAAGTATACAGTTGTGTCAAAACAAAGAACCACAATTAAAAGCATTACCTTATCATCAAGCTGGTTAAATATGAACTCTATGACGACATCGTCCTCGAACCCCAAAATCTCTGTCACCCGTTGAGTAATCCATGGCTTTATGACTTCCAGGTTTACTTTGGTCATATCCACCTAAAAGACACAAAGGCAAACAATGACATCATTCAAAAAACGATTTGTGCCTTTTTTGAATGCTGCCCCCACACCCTTTCTGGCTACGGAAGTGAGCTCTAGGGACATGGAATGTCACCTCTCTGGCAGGGAAAGAGCATGAGCTTGTGTGCGAGGCAGAGAAGTTCCGAATAGATACAGTCGGGCGCGCATTCCAAACAGACCTAGGGCTCTAGTACCAATTCCAACTACAGGGGGATAACACTTCTCAGCCTCCCTGATAAGGTATATCGAGGGGTGGTGAAGAGGAGGCTCCGAGGGGAAGTCGAATCTCAGATTCAGGAGGAGCAGTGTGGTTTTCATCCTGGCAGTGTAATAGCTGCTGGACAACTGTGGAAGGGCCCTCGAGGGTGCACGAGAGTTCGCTCAACCAGTCTACCGTATTTTCACGACTATAAGGCGCCATTAAAAGTCTTAAATTTTCTCCAAAATGGACAGGACGCCTTATAATGCGGAGCGTCTAGTCTATGCGCCGAGTTCCAAAGCCTGACTGAGAGCACTTCTGGCCGACACGCTGTTTATACAGAGAAAAGGCGGGCATGAGTGACGACAGGCATGCGGAAGTCCGCCAATGAGTGAAGGGTGGGCGTGTAAGAAGACGCTAAAGGCACGTCCCTAGCAGGTACTAGTCGCCAATGAGTGACGAGTGGGCGTGTAAGAGGACGCTAAAGGCACGCCCCTAGCAGGTACCAGTCGCGTGAGTACGTTGTAAAATGGCTAAATAAAGTACAATCGAACTCAGTTTTGCTTCCGTTGCCTTTTTAAAAACGTGTTTTTAGCGTGTGTCCGTATGTCTTAGCTGCTATCGTATGCTTTTCATTTGTTTAATAACGTGGTTATTTTAAGTTAATTTTTTATGCCCTCCGAAAATCAATTTTTAAGCCGCAGAATCAAGATTTGCTCTCTGCTGAATCAGGATTGTTCTCCGTGGACTCAACACTTTTTCTGTGCGGATTCCTGGGGGGACTATCAATGAACATATTGAGTAGAAGACTGGCAATAGACCTTCAACAAAATGAAAAGAATATCAATGTTAATGCCACTTCTCTCCTCAAATAGGCAGACAATGTGACCAAAAGAATAAATAACCTTGCCAAAAGTCTCTATTTCCAATTTTAAAATGTAGCATACTTTGAAACATAGAATGAGTAACATGCACAGTGTGACCCATAAGTGTGCATTAAGTTATTCTGAGTGACTAATTCCAAGGATTCATTCTTGTTACCAATTCATCTGTCTGAAGTGCAGGAATAATAAGATACGCAATACCTACTGTGTTGGGAATACAATACATAATGTGATCAAACACACCCATCTGTATCACAACCAGGGCAAATATACATGCTACTCAATTGGAAGTTGGTTGAAATCATTCAACCTTCATGCTAAATTAGGATACGTTACTTGTAAAAAATGCGTTATCTATTACAATTCCCTCAAGACGACAACTTCAACTACTTTTAAGGGATCTGGAAGTTTTAATGAGCTGAATAATCCTAGGGAGGATATAATTATGGCATTTTTCAGGTGTGTCGATCACTGGCATAATAATGATCCCTGGATATAACTCACCTCAAAACACACACTGCATCATGAAGGGAGAGTTGGGCTCAGTGACTTTGGGCTCAGGAGAGAGCTAATTAGGTGTTGGTGCTATACTTCTGATGCAAGGTATAACATCCATATTGGTTCAGGCCTTTTAAATCATAAATCACATCATAATTAGAAGTATGCTGAATAAAGTCACTTTGTTACATAACAGCAAAACATTGTTATAATCACACCAATTGCTAATTTAACCACTCAATTAGTCTAAGATGAGCACAATGTGACAATTTCCCTTCTTTAATGAGAAAGCACTTCCCTCAAGTATACAGTTGTGTCAAAACAAAGAACCACAATTAAAAGCATTACCTTATCATCAAGCTGGTTAAATATGAACTCTATGACGACATCGTCCTCGAACCCCAAAATCTCTGTCACCCGTTGAGTAATCCATGGCTTTATGACTTCCAGGTTTACTTTGGTCATATCCACCTAAAAGACACAAAGGCAAACAATGACATCATTCAAAAAACGATTTGTGCCTTTTTTGAATGCTGCCCCCACACCCTTTCTGGCTACGGAAGTGAGCTCTAGGGACATGGAATGTCACCTCTCTGGCAGGGAAAGAGCATGAGCTTGTGTGCGAGGCAGAGAAGTTCCGAATAGATACAGTCGGGCGCGCATTCCAAACAGACCTAGGGCTCTTGTACCAATTCCAACTACAGGGGGATAACACTTCTCAGCCTCCCTGATAAGGTATATCGAGGGGTGGTGAAGAGGAGGCTCCGAGGGGAAGTCGAATCTCAGATTCAGGAGGAGCAGTGTGGTTTTCATCCTGGCAGTGTAATAGCTGCTGGACAACTGTGGAAGGGCCCTCGAGGGTGCACGAGAGTTCGCTCAACCAGTCTACCGTATTTTCACGACTATAAGGCGCCATTAAAAGTCTTAAATTTTCTCCAAAATGTACAGGACGCCTTATAATGCGGAGCGTCTAGTCTATGCGCCGAGTTCCAAAGCCTGACTGAGAGCACTTCTGGCCGACACGCTGTTTATACAGAGAAAAGGCGGGCATGAGTGACGACAGGCATGCGGAAGTCCGCCAATGAGTGAAGGGTGGGCGTGTAAGAAGACGCTAAAGGCACGTCCCTAGCAGGTAGCAGTCGCCAATGAGTGACGAGTGTGCGTGTAAGAGGACGCTAAAGGCACGCCCCTAGCAGGTACCAGTCGCGTGAGTACGTTGTACTGTAATAAAGTACAATCGAACTCAGTTTTGCTTCCGTTGCCTTTTTAAAAACGTGTTTTTAGCGTGTGTCCGTATGTCTTAGCTGCTATCGTATGCTTTAAGCTAACATACCTGGTATGTTTTAGCGTGCATGCTTCATGCTTCAAGCTAACGTGTTTTTAGCATTAGTGCATGCATGCCGTATGTTTAAGCTGGCGTATGTTTTACCATGCCTGGCTGCGCCCAATAATACAGTGCATTTTGTGTATGTGTCAAATACAGAAATACCACCCGTTACTGAGACTGCGCCCAACAATACGGTGCGCCGAATGGTCGTGAAAATACGGTACATGTATTTTGTGGACTTGGAGAAGGCGTTTACTGTGTCTCTGGGTGAGTTCATTGTACAGAACCCCCTGATAGGGGCCATTCAGTCTCTGTACGACCGGTGTCAGACTGTGGTCCGCATTGCAGACAGTTAAGTTGAATTATTTTCCAGTGAGGGTTGGACTCTGCCAAGGTGGCCCTTTGTCACCAATTCTGTACATAAACTTTATGGAGAGTATTTCTAGGTACAGCTAAGCCTCAGTATTGCATCTCTGCTTATTGTAGATGTAGTACCGTTGGCTTCCTCAAGCTGACAAAAATCACATCACTTTTATTGGTTCTGCGGTAGTAATTGCATTTTGTTACTATGTGATTGTTCAGTAAATTATTTGAAGAAAGATTTGAAACTATATACATAATCAAAAATCCAACTATAAATATGTGTTAGCATTTAGACTTTTGAGAGCAAAGATTGATAGAAGAGATTTCAAGGACAATTAAGGCCTTGTTTTTAGATTCATGGATTCAATGCCTTCAAAGACTTTTTTCAGGATCCACAGGAACAGTGTGTAGAGTTGTAGCCATGAGACAAGGCGAAAAATACTTGCAGCTTGGAAGCAAACACCTCTGGCCTAAAATTTTGCCAACATGTTCACCAATCACTTTTTAACTGGCACCATGACTTTGGAAATATTTTGCACAATAGCTTTCCACCAGCCCCCTTTCTTGACAGAGTGGAAAACAATATATCAGTCACCTCATGTCGTTTGTTTCTGAGTAGGTATTAATCCTGAGTCGCTTTTTTTTTTTTAATAGTCACTAGAGGGGGTCTGTAAAAGTTTCAATTGGCAGCACTTGCTATTCTTCTGCAAACTAGCTCATCTCTGTTTGCAGTCATGTTGGTGCAAGCAGTACACATCAACAAAAAAAATTAAAATAAGTGAAAAAATCCTGAGTAATGAACTCTGATTAATATATCAAATTAATTAATCCTTTAGTTGTAGTATGTATGATTGAGTTGAAATATCAATGACGCCAACAAAACTAAGATGTACAAACTGTAGATGGTTTATACCTTCTTGTCGAGACATTCGGCAAATTTCAGCTGCTTTAAGAGTTTCTTGTGCTTGTTGCTAAATCGGTTGTCTTGCTCCGCGCTTGTGCCCTGTAGAAACAAATTATCAAATGTTAGCTAATCATTTAAAAGTTGCAAAACATGACACCAAGGTGGGTAGTAATGCACTGCATTTACTCTTGAGACCATTCAATGCCAAGTCTCAGTAGCCCAACAAAAAAGCTACACTTACAAAGTGACTTTTTTAGTGTCTGTTGTAAGACAGAAGCAACAGAGGATCTCAAAGGTATGGCACTCTCAGTCAGATGAGGCACAACACCCCAGGGCTCACATTCAATCTGTTTACTTTAAAGACATTGAAAAACAACAGCTACGTCAAGCAAAATAAATTGTCGTCAAGTAAAATAATCTGTGGAAAAAATTCCATTTAGGTCTACTTTGGTCAATTTGAAGTGACAATGTTGGACAATATCTGAAATGAAAATTTCTTGTTTTTATTTTTGTCAGTTTGATGCTCATGCTCTAATTAAGAAAAATAATCACGAATTACACCGAATTTGAGTTTTAAAATCTCGTTTATGAATACGCTTACTAAATAACCATTTCAAGGACTACTTTTAACTTTTGTTGAGTCACATTATTCTTAAGGTTTGAGTCACATTATTCTTAAGGTACTAGTATTCTTGGTAGAGTACATATTTTTTCCTCTGGTACCAGCATATGTAAGGCCCATATACTAAAGTGTCACTTATCGGGGTCTATTTTAAGAAAAGTATCTGAAAATTTACAGAAACAAAGGACTATTCCCACATCCAAGGTACAAGTTAGAAAATGAGCGGAGAGTTAAGTTATCTTGATCAGGTTCATTTAGTAGGATTAAAAATATGACATTGGTAGCAATGAGCTAGCATTAGCTCAATTGACGAATTATTTATCTTAATTTGGAAATTGAAGACAAAGCAGCCGATAGCAAGCAACATTGTGCTTCATATAGGCACAGTAACAAATGTGTCATCGGTTTGATTTTGCGGCAGACATTAGCACTACGCGTGTATTCTGACATTTCAGCGTTGCGGCAACGCGCTCATGGAGACGGAAACGATCCACCACCCAAGCGCCATCTTTATTAGCGAAGGCTAGCCGCTTTCATGTAACCGGCTAGCAAAGTTCGTGCGATTTTCACTCTAGTGTCACGTGAATGTTACTCCAAACGCAATTCGTAGCCGTGCAACACCACGGTACAAGTTTAGCTTTCGTTTTCTAATCCATGTGAGAAACCTTTTTCGAAGAGTTTTAACCGAATATCGAGCAAATTGCAATGTTGGCACGCACCAGTTGATAGTCGGTGCCCAAAAATACAAGGTAACTCAATAGCGACAGGCCTAATAGGTAAACGTCAAATTAACAGACAACGTTAGCAATAGATCAGGACAGAAACCTGGAAATCGGTTTTACAATGACTACATTTCTGAGCAACTTACGCGGAAGAATCCCGCGTCCATGGTTGAAGAAAATAGATGTTAGAAGACCAGTGAGTGAAGACGTGTGTTACCAGCCTCGTGAAGATTGCGATCCTGCAGGAGGCAACATGAATTACATCGGCTGAAGCAGCTTGGCGAAAGACAACAGCTCGATTCGTCAAAATATCCTCTTTAATGCCCTGACATAAACAATACGTGTGCAGAGTCTTTGTCCGGCCGAGAAACCGAACACACGCATGCACTTTGTTACACATCTGTATATCTCGCACTCATTAAAATCAAATTTTTTGTGACTCCCTTGGTCCAAACAGATATCTTACCACTTGTTTATTTGTTTGCTTTTCGTCGTTCAATTTTCAGCTGGAGGAAAAAGGCAAATAAAAATACAGTATAGGTCTAAATTTTGGAGAGCGTTTGGGGATTCACCAAGACATAAAGACACCACCAGATGTCACTATTTACAAGTTATGAATATTCATGACATTTCTATAGTACCAGTCTCACAAGTGGGTGGGTCATTCCAGAATTGGAGGACATTTTGCTACCCATGCATCAAAATTTGAAAAAAAAAATTACAAAATACTAAAACGGTAAACTTCTGGGTAAATTTGCTTGTCCCGAGTCCAAATCTAAAACAACTAAGAGAAAAGACAGCTTGAAAATAGTTTATACCCGATAAATGTAGTTAATACCCGATAAAGGATATCTTATCTTATCTTATAAATGTGGAGTATCCCCAAAATGTTTTCTCTTGTCCCATTTCCCTAATGACCAAAAGGAATCTAAAATAAATCAGTTGAAATGAAATTTTAACTTGTTTTTTTTTTTTATATGAATATGAGTATTTTTTACTTAATCTTTTGTCTTTCTTCCTGGAGGATGGCCAAGCGTCCGCAGGCTTCATGTCTTTGTAATCCGTCCAGCATGGGCATCACCTCGCCTTGCTTTTTCCCTTGTCCGGACTGCTGTGGTTTGCTGGAGGCCGGGGGTAGTGTTGGGGGATGCTCGTTGGTCCATGATTTGTTCCTAAATTATTCTTAAAGCGTGTTTCTTAACATTGTGCAATATAATACACCTTATGTATCAATTTTGTACCCCTGACAATAGTCCTTGCCACCTTGGAAACACACCTATATAGTGGAAAATGTACAAATATTTAGCCCTGCCTCAGTGTGGAAAGTAAGTGTGTGACATTGGTTCCAACTGAACCCAACTTTGGACAGTGTAGTAACAGTACACTCGAATAACCTAAATCTTCTCCCTAAGCTTTGGTTTCAATGTATAGAGAAATGACTTCATAAATTCTAAACAGGCAGTGGAAATGAGGACCAATATAAGATTCATCTTTGAAAACACACAATTCATGCTCTTCCCGATTACTTCTTTATTGATGAGTGTTCAACAGCTGAGTGCTATCTTCCCCCACTCAATGACCATATTCCTTATCTCCTCCTGGACCAATTCCAGGTGACGAGTCTGTTGGGTCCACCTCAGAAAATAGCCTGTAAAAAGATAAACACTGAAAACGTGACACGGAAAACTCTCATTCACTGTGGGGTGAATTTTTCTGTCAACATTTTGATCTGGATTTCTTACACAACCCCTCTCCTCTCAAAATTTGCTGGGAAAATGTTTTGCATTTCACTCTCAACAAATGAATGCTGATCTGAACAATACCTCTCCCATTTTCATGCCTGCAGAAATTAGTAAATCTTGAATCCATACGTGAACCAAAGCTCACCCCTCCATAGTTGTAAGGATTGTGGGTGGACTGAAGGCCAAATGGCCAGTTCATTTGGCTCATATAGTGGGTTATTGTACTGCTCTCTTTCCGTTGGCTTCAGCAGGGCCCGAAACAAACAATGAGTCTTGTCCTTCACTTGGAGAGCACAGCTGGAAAAGAAAGCCAATGGTTGGATGCCAGGAAAAATTCTGTACATTAGTGATAAAAGGGGAAGCATAACTGACCGTTCCATGTCGCTGTTACAGAGGAAGGTGCCATAGTCCGAGGCATAGGCTTCAGTAGCCAGCCTGAGGAGCAGAGCTTCAGAAAAGCCGAGTGCAAGGGGGAACTGGCGCCATAACTGCCACACACAGTCCAGCAGCAACAAGAACACTGGACATTCCTGCTGGATACGAGCATGGGAGAAGGCTGAGTGGGAACATCGCTGCTGGAATGGGTGTCCTGCCTGCAAGGTAGACATACAGTATGCAGCCATGAATTCATGTTGAAAACTATCCTCTACATCTATTCCATTAATTTTTGCTTGATCACATAAAAAACAAAAACAAAAAAAACGCATTGACACCTATGGTCAATCAATATACAGGTATACCCAGATTACCTCACTCATTGATAGGGATAACTCACAGAAAGTCTCTACTGGACAGATTCACACCCACAACCTTGTTGCTGGGAGGCACCATTCCTTCATACTGATCCAGATGCCGTAGCGAGCAGAAATATAACACTAAATATAATTCCATATGAATAGTCATGAGTAAAAAAGGCAGTGTGCTTGCTGTTCTATCATCCTGGTGCCCTACAACTTTCTTTGCACCACAGACTCGTTGTGTCACTTTAACCCTTTCAGGGACAGCGCTTACCGGTACTTACAGTGGACAGCTTATCATGTTATCAGGTTACATGGTGCATGAAAAGGTTAACGTATTTGATGACTGACGCAGAAGCAAAAAAAAAAAAAATCAAAACAAAAAAAACCCTATTGCACCATGATGATAAATGAAGTTGTTGTAATAAGAACCCTTTACTACTGTACTAAAAAACAAAAAAACAAAACAAAACAAAAAAAACCCAAAACGAAAAAAAAAAAAAAAAAACTCCAAGCAGCATGTTTGAAGCTGCAATCACACACGTGGTCATTGCCGTAACTTTTAGTGGCACATTATGGCCATCGGGCAGTCTGTGAGCGTTATGGAACAAGTGTGACTCACACTGTCAGTATAAGTCAGCCCTCACTCGGTATTGGCAGCGAGTTAACTTATGTTTCACTGGACTTAACTACAGCCTCTGGAGTACAGAAGGGGGAAAGCATTTACAGTAATTCCATTGAAGAATGCACGCACCCAGAAAAGCGCACGGCTGCACACCTTTACGTTCTTGTTTCACCCATCTCATAACAGTAACATGGTCCATAATAGTCTATTATAGTCAGTCTTGTATGCAACACTAATATTATGTTATAGTGAAGCAAGATACCAAATTTGCCAAAGGGTTTTCAAAATGGATGTAGCAAGTCTCATTGTGAGGCAGTAGACTTTCCGGAACACATGACTGACTTCTCTCAGTCAAAAGGCAAGGGAAAATAGTGACAACAGTGAAATATTTATATTATAATTAAAAATATTTTATCAGCATATACAATTCGGGGCAGCGCAGTAGCACATCATCCTCACACTCAAAAGATCTCTGTACAGACCTCTGTGTAATTCGCGTTTTCTCCCTTTGCATTTGTGGGACCTCTCCAGGCTCTCCCCACATTAGAAAAGAAAATACATATTACAGTAATTCAATATTTTAAAAATTCCAAAGGTGTGAATAGAAATGATTATGTGTCTATATATGCTCTTTGATTTACTGGCGACCAGTGCAAGGTGAACTCAGCCCCTCGCCAAGTCAACTGAAATTGACTCCAGCTCACCTAGGACTTTGAATTGGATAGGTAAAAACTGGTAAGTGGATACATACCTAGTGATATAAAATGTAAAAAAAAAAAAATTCATGAATACTAATGTAATCCTGTTGTATGAATGTAAAACTACAAAAAAAAAAAAACGACCTGTACCTGGACAAATTCCCTCTCTAGAAGTTTCAGAAAGCCTTCCAGTGTACGACAACTTGGGTCCAAAATGAGTTGTGCAAGAGTGCTAATAAGCAGTGTGGAGTCTGTCCCCTCAGAGCCGTGAACCAGGACTGAGTGACCATCTCTGGGTAAAACAAACAGGCATGATGCATGTTATTATAATAATAATAATAATAATAATAATAATAATAATAATAGTGATTAAAAAGGGAGCATTTCTGACAGAGGCGTATTCAGAGTGCCTACCTCTCCACACACTCTGCCAGCAGGCCAGCAGTTGACATTGCAGTTTGGACATGAGACAACCACTTGGAATTTTCGAGCTTACTGAGCCAGCGGTCCATATTCGGGGACTTGTCACCACAGGCATCCACCAGCTTGATTAGACTCTCCTGGAGTGTTTTCCCCCTGTATAAACATAAGTATTATCTACTGCAATTGTGTAGATTGTTTTCGACCTTTTAAACTGAGTACCACCTCAAAAGTATTGATAATTAGCTCTCCAAGTTTTAACATCAGATAGACTAGTGTGGCACCTGTCTCTTATTTTGGAGTGTGAAAATTGGCAACCCTACTTGGCGCTTGCATGAAAATCAGGATTTGCCTGCATTTTCACATGTGCCATCTGTGAAATTCTACTTGTAGTTCCTTATATAGTAGTTCCTCTTTGCACATTTCAAGAAAATTAATTTCTGTTCCTGCAATGTCAAGGATTGAGCGTTGCTCCTTTGACTGACAGCAAATTAACTTGTGTGTGTTTATGCCCCAGTGGCAGAAAAGTCCATTTTCTAACTGTGTCAACCTGTGTGTCTTTGCGAAAATACCAAATCTTTGTCCAGCCCTCCTTCACACAGAGTTCACCAGCTTGCCACTTACTGGGCACGGGAAAGGGGCCCATAGCGTGATATCCACACACCTTTCCATGTGCCTGTGTAGTCTCTTCCAGTTGCTGTAGCATGATTTGGACTCAAACCCGCCGCCCATCATCCTGGCTTGCTGCGCCTGCTGAGCTGAACGTGTGTCAATAATATAACCTCTGTCTGAGTCCCCGATCACTATCTGCAAGAGGAGCTCATCTTCCAAGCAACGCTTCCGGTTGGCTCCTGTCAGTGGCTGACTGCCGCGCAAAATGACCTGAAATGGGTTTTGGGTGCTTTTCAAAACAATAAGGCTACCGCAAATAAAAGTTGCGGGACGTTGGCCTCACCGTGCCATTCTTCTTGTGGTAGTAACAGAGGACAGGGAAGCGTCCCCCCTGTCTGAATTTGGCAACCTTTTTTAGCGCGTCATCCCCAATTGCCTTGGGGACAATGACAGCTGGAGGGTAAGAGGCGCATACTGAGTAGTCTTGGTTCACGGTGCTCAGTCTCCACCTTTCATGCTGCAAACAGAGAGAGCCCAGCGCCATCAAGGCATGACGGGGCAAATATGTGACTCAAAACCACAGGAAATAAAAGGACTCGTAGCACACACAGTATGACGAGGCTCTTTTGTCACCACTAACAAGAAATGTAATTGTACTAGGTCCTAGTACAACCTGGGTGGTTAGTTCTGTGCCTTATTCAACAACTTAATCCATGCATCCATTTTCTATATCGCTAATAGGTAAGCTGAAGCCTATTCTAGTTTACCCTGATCAACATGTAGGGGTACACCCTGGACTAGTCAGCAAACAGTGAAAGGGCACAAACAAGCATTTGTATTGCCATTGACTACAAAACGGATCATTTAAAGCCTTAAATTCAATTGACAGAAAGCCTGTGGAAAACATGGAAAGGCCCCTAGTTTTCAACATCAACCCTCAGAACTGTTTGGCAGATGTGCTACTGCCAATGACTTGTTCAGTGCTGCCCCAAAGATTCGAATGTTGGTGAATTTACTTGTTGAGTCTTAAATCCTGTGAGAGTCAAGAATTGTCAAAAACACAATCTCAGTCATGCCTCAATCATTCCACTTATTACGTAATCAAAATGCTGCATATTAATATGGCATTCGAGGACTGTCTTTTCACACACAGACAAAATTGTTGGTAGCCCTCTTTTAATGGAAGGAAAACTCACAGTGCTCACAGGAACAAAGTGAACCCGACACAAGTAAATAATAAATAAGATGTAATGAAAATCAATCAATGAAAATCAGACATTGCTTTTGAATTGGGGTTCAACAGATTTATGGAAATAAACAAACAAACAAAAAAAACTCATGAAACAGGCATGGAGAAAACTGAAGGTACGTACCCTTAACGTAATAGTTTGCTCCACAACCTTTCACTTCAATCAAACGATTTTTGAAATTTTCAGACTTCTGCAGGTATTTTTGTCCTCTCTTTATGACTAAACAGCTCCAATAATCTCAGCTTTGGAGGATGCTTTCTCGAGACCATGATTCCCAACCAGCGTGTAGGGGCACATTAATGTGTCGTGAGACCTCTAATGGTGTGCCGCGGGAAGTTATCAAATTTCACTTACCGGTAATGGTGAGAAAAATATTTCTTAATAACAAATAATGTATCGTTGTCTCTCAAATTATTTTCCTTTTTTTTCAGGGTGCCATTGTTTGTGTGCAGGCCTGTTTTATGTTTCTTTTTTTAATTCTGTTGAACTATAGTTCAAAAGTAGTGTCTGATTCTCAGTGTTTATTTTTCATTGCTTTTTAATTAATGATTTGATTTTGTCAGATTCTAGTTATTTCTTTGAGCACTATGGTTTTATTTCATTAACAGAGGGGGTACTGTATCAACAATTTTGTCCATGTGTGTACATGCTGCAATACTAAACAAATTATTTGTAGTTTTTCCATTAAGTTTGAAATGATCACTGGCCATCTACATTATATTCAAATTGATTGGCTGAGGGTATACCTGCGTCTCTACTTGCAGTTAGTCATGTGGAAGATCCGTAAATTCCCATATATCCCCATATATGTGAGACACAATGCTAGTTAGAGTGACATTTTCGTTCAGCATTTCTCAGCATTCACAGCAGATTTTGAGGGAGGAGCTATTATCAATTTACTGGGTGGGAAACCCCCATATGAAGGTGCGTCTTCTTTGTTCATCCCTCCATTTTTTAAATCAGTATCCTCATTAGAGTCTCAGATATGTTGGAGCTTATCCCAGCTGACTTCTGGGCAAGATGCAAGTTTTTTTTTTTAATTGTTCTTCAGGCAAATGTGTTGACATGTTTGGCCAAGCACTTCATGAAATTTGTATTGTTCTTCAGCAATAAAGAGGAAATTCTCAGTAAATGCCAGTCCCAGTGCTTCAGAGCGACTCACTGTTACAAATGTTAGGTTGCTGTTGGTAGGTAAAGCTGTAAACTGGAATGGGGTATTTCCTCATTCTTGACCCCCTCTATCTTCTGTTTCCCTGCCATTTTCCTGTCATGTGATTATAGGCTCAGGGTTAGGAAAACAGTGCCAAGAGACATACTGTATGTGTATTTTCAATCTTACAAGTTCTTCCATTTCAGCGTAATGTCTTTCAGGGGTTGAGAGGCCCCACGGGTCCTGCGGGCTGGCATTGGAGGGTCGGTAAAAGAAAGGATACATCTCTGCCACACAGTTCAGACAAGACAGGGTCTGGAGAAAACAACAGTTAATGATGAGAAACTAAAAAAGAAACAGATAAAAGCTTCCAGGTTCAGTAAGAACAACAACAATTATTATTATTAAAAATATATATAATACTAATGCATCACATTTAGATGGCTCTTTTCCACACACTGGACACTTTATGTAATGCCAATGATTTCATGTACCTCAATGGATTGTGCAATGTTAAGGCACTGCTCCATGCCTGGGATGTCAAGCTGTAGCACACGCAGATCTTTACACTTGATGACGATGGTACCGGAAGATTCTGTAGCTCTATATACAAACACAGAGCAAAACAATAGCTCCAATACCCCTAAGACTGCTTCGCAATTTAGATGCGCCATGTTTTGGCTCGAGCAGTGCAGAAAATTGGACTTGCACAACTTTGTTACATGGGCCTTCTGCTTGCTGTAAAAACTGAGTTTTGCTGCAGCACACAAGTACGAGCTGTTAGTAGGATAGCAAGCCGCACACACGACAGCGAGGAAGAGCTGTTGTAACCAAACATGTTTCCTGTGGGCTGCATAGGTGCAACAAACTGCTGACACATTGCAACACAAATGAGGCTCCAACCTGTCGCTGTGGCCGGCATTAGGAAAGAGGCTGAAGTAGTTCAAAAGGTTTTCCACGCTGCTTGAAACACATTTGAGGAATTATTTTGTTAGATAATGGACAGTTTAACATCTTATGTGTAAATTACCATATGATTTAATCAAAGCTATAAATATCATGCCGCTCCACTATTGTATTTTAATATTATGAGGAACAAATATTATTAGACTATGCTTATCTATAAGTTATTCCGTGTGCATCTCCTCACCTTTTCTCAACAGCATCAATGTTTCTGAGGAGCAGCAGAACCTGCTGACAGCTCTCCTCCTCCCTGTCCGAGAAGAGCAGGTGGTGGCCGGTGATGCACAGGGTGCCCTTGATCGAAGTGTGCAGAGGCTGCTGGAGCACAACATCTTCTACATTCGCTGTCTTGATGTGCTCGGAAAACTCCATTCAACCAAAGCCAAGCGCCAGCAAACCTTTCGAGTAAATAAAGTACCTCAACTTGAAATCACTTCCTCGCCTACACTAAAATGAAAGAAAACTACAGTGACGCTCCTCCTCCTCCCGTTTCTCCTCCTTTTCCTCCTCCCCTTGCTCTCGCTCGTCTGTTTCTCTCACGATCTGAACATAAATAGAAGTGGCTTTCCCAACCTCTGAGCATAGGCCCGAACATGCGCACATATTCTTAACACTTTTGCAAGCTGTTGCACGAGAGGATGCAAGAGTTACAAGTGCATTTCCTCCCTGTAGCTCAGTCTCTCTCTCTTTCGCTTACGGCTGTGTAGGTAATATGCAGAGATTCGCGGGTTTTTTTTAACGACTTTTTTTCTGAAAGAACTATATGAAAATATGTTATCGACATTTTCTAATGAGTGGCTTTTTAAAAGTTTTATTATTATTAGAAAATGCCGCACAGCTTTTCCTTGGAATTGTCATCTCGGCCCTGAAAGGAAACGTGAAAGAGCACACACTCGCACAGCAGTTTTGACTCTCAAAATGCGATCGCAAGCTGCAATATAACCAATAACCACTAGATGGAGACACAGTACAAACATGTAAATGAAAGGGTGCATTGATTCATTACACTTGGTAAAGAGAAACCATTTGACAGTGGACTACGGCGTGAAAATTATGCACAAACTTCTTAATTTTTAAGGAACCCTTCGACAACGTGGTAATTTTTCACAAAACAAACCCTCAAAGTACTTAATGTTCATCCTGTTGCATTTGTGTTTATTGCAACTGTTACTACGTAAAAAAAAACCTATATCAAGACAAAACAAACAATATATGTTGTGGATGATGGATCACATCTACACACGAGGACATTTTTTCTACTCCTACGCTCACACAAGAAAAACCCTCAATGATGACTAAAATAAACTGAAACTGACAAAATAATGAATAAAAAAATTGTGAAAAGTAACCACTGAAAATCAGGCATTATTTCGGTTTTGTGGTCCATCTGAATAGACTTAAAAAACAAGCTCATGAAAACCGCACAGACAAAAATGATGGGATAATCACTGAAATAACCTCAGACTAATGAGACTGGAAAGTGCTGAAATGCATATTTACTAGCCACAATGCTTCTGAGACAATGTTTGACCGTGACTATTGGGGCTTTTTCAGGACATATGTTCAAAACAAAAACAACAGCACTGTAGGCCTACTGTGAAACAAACAGCAGCCTCCGCTTTGTTCTGTGAGTGCTTTGCTTAATCTGGCACAGAAATCCTAACCCTATCAATTCTGGGACAAAATGTGCTCCCTGATCTCAGAAAGCTTGGCCACAGTTTCGTGTCATGGGTCTTCTAACAAGATAAAGACACAAACACACAGCTAATGAAAACATGAACAGCTAAAAAAAAACAACTTCAAACTCTTCTGAAGAGTCCTGATATTATTAGACATGTGTAAAAGAAGACGAAAGGTATAGCTTGAAAAGGCAAACTTCAGATATGCGAAGGTTGACGTACTTTGCTCATGACTAGAGGGCCAACGTACCTGCCGAGTTGCTAAAATACTGTACTTGTCGACACATGCTGAAGTCTGTTTGGCAGTTACAGAAATCACTTAATTGCAATATTCCCTCAAAATGTTGTGCAATAAAGTTAACAATAAGTTAAGCATAACCATCACTTTTGTCCAGGCCATTTTTATTGTTTTATTTTTAAATCATTCTGTTGGACGACACAAATAAAACATTGCTTGATTTTCATTGGTTAATTTTCAGTTTTTATTATAACTTTTGTTAGTTTTTCCCGTGATCATTGTGGGTGTTTTCCTTTATTTATCAGATGGATATCAATAATTTTGTCCACATACGTAAAAATATTTGAGTTTTTATGTTCGTATTATGGCTTATGTTTTATGATAGAGCTCATGTACTTTGTTACAGCTACGATTATTAAAGTGGTCTATGAATAGGTTAAGTTGAGATGAGAGTTGAGGTACAGAAACTGGTTTAATAGTAAAAGTAAGGATCAGGATTTTTTTTCCCTCCCGAGCCAAAGAAGGGAGGGCTTGACCAATATATAGTGGGGGGCTGAGAAAAAAAAAATCATTTTCATGACTTCCCATTTTTAACATAAAAGTATAATCCACACTAGTGGTGCGCCATAGAGACGTGTATTCAACATAAGGTATGAATTTGCCCGAAAGTAGCGATTTGGACTTTACTGTCCAATCACAGTAATTGATTATGTCTTTGTATCCCCTTTCGTGTGTATTACTCAATCAGTGTGACAGAAATGCCCAAACTGTATGGCCCCATCACCTCGCTGTTTACGCCTGTTTTTATTGGAGAATACTTGCTGCACACTATTTTGAAACCTTCTCACTTACAGGCTGCGGCCGGCGCTCCTTCAGGAGTTGGTCCAGGCTCATTTTTCCAATCACCCTCTTCTTCTTTACCCCCCTGGGAGAATGTTGGGAGGGAATTATTTTTTATTTTTTTAACTAAGCGATCCATTGCTAAGATGGACTGCAAGATAACTCTAACCTAAAGTGCATTCGGAAAGTCACTCCAACACCCGTGCACTATTCTGAGAGTGGGTGTGTTGGAGAGGTGGAGTGTGCTCCATTCTCATTAATTTCCACACGCAGCCATCACTGGCACGCCGTGCCCCCAGTTTGAAGTGCTTAGTACCTTGTACCTTTTTGGTGGACTCTGAATAGCCAAACAACAAATTTTAGCAATGCTCTAAATTTCCAAACGGTGTCAGTTAACCAGTGTGTGCTCGGAGATTGATTATGGCCGCTCCCCTAATGCGCAGGTGAACTAAAAGACTCACGCTGGCGCTCTCTGCCCTCACAAAGAGACACGGGGTAGAGCTGCAGCACAAACACGGAAAGAATAATCTGAATTGGAACAGAATGGCTACTTACTTGTGAACTTTAAAACATTTTTTTAAACATACATTGCTTATGAAGAGCTTTCTGACGGGGCTAGAGCCCCCCATAGCCCCCGGTCTAGCACCGTGCCTGGTGAGTCCTAATGATGATTACAATACAAAGGGGCCTACAGCGTCACTTGAACCACAGCGTTTCGTTTGAGGCGACCAATCAAATTCAAGTATGTGCCTACATAGCATTATGCAACCCAATTCAAAGGTTTGCCGCTGCCTTATAACATAAGGTCTGAGTTTTCTACCACACTTAAGTAGGCGTCGGCGCCGTGGGCGGTCACTGTCTCTATCCGCTTATAAAGGAAGTGCGGCGGACCTTTTGCGCGTCAATAGCCAAGTGTCCAGCAACAATCTCAGTGAAATCCACCCCCTGCTCGCATGGATTCCCAACACTCTGCAGACGAGGGAGACACGGAAAGTCTGGACAGCTTGAAGGCACTAACGGAGAAACTCAAATTAGAGACTCGCAGACCGTCCTATCTGGAGTGGCAGGAGAGGCTGTTGAGCGGACCTTGGAGGGACAAGAATCCATCAACTTCACAGCAACACGATCGCGACCATTCAGCTTCAACGCACAGCAATCCAGACGTGGTCGTGCGAAACATCTGTGGCTTTGACACTATTGATGACGCCTTGAACTTTCTCAGAAAAGAGTTGGTGAGTGAGGCAGGAGAACTGTTGCGTTTGTTATACTGTACCTGCACCCATCGACCACTACATTAGGTACACTTCCAAGATTCATTGCAAGAGCCCGAGAGCCGCTTTGGATTTTCGAAATGGACAGATGGGCCATAGGTTTGTCTCATTTTACGTTGCATTTATTATTTAACTGTAATCAAGCAATCAACCATTTGATTAAAATATATTGAACATGCCAAATGCGTAGGCTAATGTAAAGTATGTAAAATTGAACCTAACCATCCATCCATTTTCCCGAATTGCTTATCGCACGAGGGTCGCGGACGTGCTGGAGCCTATCCCAGCTGCCTTCGGGCGGTAGACAATGTAGACAGATAGACAAACAACCATTCACACGCACAGTCACTCCTATGAACCGTTTAGAGCAGTGGTTCTTAACCTTGTTAGAGGTACCGAACCCAACCGGTTAATATGCACGTTCACAGAATCCTTCATAAGTGATAAAAAAAAGAGTGTGATTTTTTTTTCCAAATTCAAGACATAAAAAACGCATTTATGAAAAAGAGAACACAATTAAACACAATTAGTATAATTATAAAGTATACGTTTTTTAATTGTGCACAAAATGAAACAGACAGTGATGGCCAAGCCGGCGTGTAATAACTAATTGACATGTTGAGTTGAGCTGTCTAAACCTCCATGGCAGAGGCTCTGTCGAATCCCTGAGACCGATTCACTCACCCAGGTTAAGAACCACTGGTTTAGAGTGTTCAAACAGCCTATGCATGTTTTTTTTTTTGGAATGTGGGAGTACCCGGAAAAAAATCCAGGAAGGCACGGGGAGAACACGGAGCCTGGATTCAAACCCCCGACTGCTCCACTTTGAGACGGACGTTCTACCCGGACGGCCACTGTACCATCCTGAACCTAACTCAACAATTCATAAATTTAACTTCCTATCACTTTATTACATATATGAAAACCTGATGTGCTTGAGTGAAAAAAAGTCATCCAAAAAAGTTTTAAAAATGTATTTTAGGATTTGCAAGAGGGAAATATAAAATTAATTCAACAAATATTAGAGGGCTCATGTTAATTTCAATGCTTGGTGGGCCAGATTAAAAAAGTGAGCGTGTCACATTGTCCAGGGAAGGGTGGACCAAGTGTGGTCACACTTGGTCCACCCTTCCCTGCCTGGGATCGGGAAAACTCTGATAAGCAGCTCTCAAGATGAAGAAGTTCACCTACACCACTGCAAAATTACCACCGCAATAATAATTAATTTAAAAATGCTATAAGATAAGATAATAAAGATGGAGAAATTCCCAGTTCACAGCAGCAAAGTTATGAAAGGAAGAAGTAGAAGAACAAAATATAGGAGCTGCTGTAAAGGCAGCCACTCTCGCGGCGCCATCTTGAAGTCAAAATAACAAATTAATACAACACAACACATAAAACACACACAGTCATTCACTCTTAACCACTCTTCTGCATCCTCTTTGTTGTATGAAGCAATTATAGATGAAAGAGGAGAGATCAAAGTGTCCTTTCACAGTGGATCAGGGACGTCATGCTGAAAATGTGCACCGCTCATATATAATATATAACGTAAAATGTATACCGCTCAAACATCATCTGTTAAAGTGAGCCTTATTATCTGTGTAAATTTTAAAAATACATTTTTGACTCAGCAATTTGCATTTGTGGCCGGTTGGTGCATATGTAAAAAAAAAAGTTGTGCAAAAATAAACGGAACAACGTCAACAAACCCTTTTACTGCCATTGTTGTCATGATCAGTATTTGTCTACTGTGTTGGTGGTTGAGATCGAAATGATTCTCTGTTCAAACACTCAATCACCAGACCTAAATAGTGTGTTGACCTCCAACATGGAGGTGCGTGATGTCACGAGAAAATTATCCATTACTTTACCACAACTCTTCTTTTAAATATAAAGGCTCACCTCACGTCGTTCACCTAAACTAAAATGCTTTCTGTCGCTGAAACATTGATTCTATCTCAACCCCCCCTTCCCCCATTTCAGAGGGAGATGCAAGACCAGGACAACCATCTGGCCCGTCAGCTGATCCATCTTCGTGGGGAGATCAACAAGCTGAAAGTGGAGCAGGTGTGTGAGCGCCACAAAGAAATGCTGGACAATGCGACGTATGAGCTGGAGGAGTGCGGCGAGGAGTCCGATCTGCTGTGTGACATCCCCATGAAAGCCACCTTTGCTCTGTCTACTCCACTGAAACATCTGGGCCTCACGAAGATGAACATCAACTCCAGACGTTTCTCACTGTGTTAAAGCCTCATCCATTCCTCCTGATGATGAATATTAAGTTCGACTTGACTTCCATCAAACACTGAGTGCTATTTACTCTTTGGGAGGTCCACAGTGTCAACAAAAGGAAGCTGTAAGCTATTTGCTGTATGCTTAGCGGTGTGACGTGCGTGGAGAGTGCACCAGCATGTACAGTATATGCCGCCAACACAGATGCACTGTTACATTGGATGAAGACTATTAGCACAAATTAGACTCATTATCAGGTACAACCGCACAATCTAATGAAAGTAAATGATCCCTTTTCAAAGAAGATCATGATCAGTTTTTGTTTGGCATTTTTTCTATGGTGGTTGTAGTTTGCGATGATGTAGATTTGCATTGCATCATGTTTGCCATCCTTTGCCGTCCACCATGCCTGTGAAGTTGTACACTATTGTTTACGATCCAAAATAAGAAGCATTTTAAAATAATACCTCTTCTGCAGAGTGAATAAAAAGTGTACATTTTACACGAGACTCTGCAGATTGCCTTGCAATCCGAAGTTCGAGTTTCAATCTTCAATTTTACTGTAGCATTGTCTTCCACGTGCTTTCCAGAAATAGGATGATTGATGCCTTGAAATTGTGTTGATGAGAGTGTTAAATGTGCAGAGAGTCAGCTGGGATATGCTCTAGCTTACTATGTATGACCTTGGACAAGATCCATCCATCTGTTCCATCCATTATTCCATCCATTCCATTCATCCATCCATCTATCATTCAATTATCTGAAGCACTTATCCTCACAAGGGTCACCGGGGCTGCTGGAGCCTATGCCAGTTGTCTTCAGGCAGTAGGCGGGGTGCACCTTGAATTGGTTGCCAGCCACTCACAGCCCTGGACAGGATCGTGGTTTAAAAAAAAAATGGATCCATCGTCTGTGACCAGCAGTTGCATATATTCTTTGGGTCAGGCTGAATTTGAGATTAAGATCATAGATGGCTCCGTACAATCATTTTGAATAACAATGGCTTCTTCAATTCTAATTCTATTTCAGAAAGAAATGGGCCTTCATATGTTTCTATTTTTACTTCCTAAACTTCAACATAGAAAGGTTAAGGAAAATAGTTGGTTCCGAAATAATTTTTAACTGAAATAGACAACTTAATTTATTTTGCTCAATCATGATACACTTAAATGTGTAGAAGTGTTTTTTAAGAAACCAGGTCTTATTGAATGTCAGGTCATTCTTTTTTGAAGTGCATAAGTAACATGAGTTATGAAAGGGTCAACTTTTTAATGAGTTTTATGATCACGTTGATGGCCGTTTTAGCCATGTGGTCTAACACCAGCGTTTTGATATCTCCCAAACTCCAAATATCTCGATGGCCTTCTCTTGACAAAGACAGGGTTTTCCATTACAATGTGCACAAGGTAGCAAACTTGTTCTGTTGCTTAGCGAGATTTCTTGTTAACAATATCAGCTGGATTTATGAAAAATTACATATTTTCTCTTCAAGGATTTATGTTAAATGTTAAAAAAAAATCAGTACATAACTCTTGTAAGATGCTACTGTAAAATGTGTCTTCAATGGCTGTATATAAAATGTAACTGAAAAATGCAGTTGTAAATTGTCTTTGCAACTCAATATTAAAGAAAAACTGCTGTCTCTGACATATTTTTAATATTTATTATAAATAGAGTCAGGGCTCGGACAATACTGGAATGTTAAAAGACCGATTGAGAATTGTAAACATTGACACAGAATTGACAAGAGAACTATTTGAATATGGCCAAATCTTGTTATTCTTGTTTTCCTATTTCCACGATAGGAGAAGGTCTGAGAATGTTATCAAGTGTCAAATATTTACACTTGGTTTGCATGCATGCTGTTTACGACACGACAGGCTCTATTTTCGCGCAAGTCCCGAATGGAGAGTGGCGTAACTGTGCACGGAGCCATTAGCATTTTCGCAGATGTGTGCAAAATTGAGTTTAATAACACTCTGACTTGCGATTGGATGATTTTCAAAACAATTGACTATAATGTGTCTTGTGACATAAAATGAGGCTAGCAGAAATCAGTGCTGCCTGTGGTTAGCATGTCTGCATCGCAATCAGAATGTGTGGGGTTGGATCTGCTCGGACCTTTTTATGTGGAGTTTTCCGCAAACACGCATTACAAAAAAATTGCATACTAGATTGATTGAGGCCTCTGCATTGATGTGAATGTGAGTGAATTGTTGTATGTGACTGAATGGCAGCAGTAGGAAGGGGAAGCAAGTGAGACAGTGCCTCCCCTGCTGGCCATTCTCTGCAGATGAAGAGTAAAAAATATATATATATATATATATATATATATACACACACACACACACACACACACTAAATACATTAAACTATGTTTCATTTTTGTTCGATGGTCCATGCACTGCCATGTGGCAGTTTTGCGTACCGTTGCTGCAATGCGTAGAAAAAGCCCATAGACATGCATCAGCACTTGGGCTACCCTCAGGTGCTTGAAGACATGCAGACTTAGCCGCCATCCTGAACCTGGGTTCCAACGACGATCTCTTCCATCAAGTTGTATTTAGCTAATAACTGGGTTTGGCTGCAATTAAATTCATCATAGCTTATTAAATTCTGTACCGATTTCGACACTTAGAAACATCAGACATGCAGTTCAGATACCAGACCCTGAGGTAAATTTATAATTGGGACTTTCATAACATTAATTTTAAAGGAAAGACCAAACCTTTTTTTTTTTTTGTAAACAAGAACTGCAAAACAACAACAACCCAACGAAAATCAACTGAAATGAACTTAGATTAAATATTCTTTTGGCTTTCTTGCTATAAAATTGTTGAACAGTCTGGAATTGATTGAAAAATAATTACAAGCATTGAAAACCAACATTCAAAAATTCAATCTTGACCTTTTTTGAAACATGTTTCAGTGAGGGCTGGTCGGTGGGCCAGTGGTTAGCATGTCGATCTCACAGTACAGAGGTTGTGGTTTCGATCCTGGCTCCGGCCTTCCTGTGTGGAGTTTGCATGTTCTCCCTGTGCCTGCATGAGTTTACTCCGGGTACTCTGGTTTCCTCCCCCATTCAAGAAACATGCATGGCAGACTGACTGAACACTCAAAAATTGTCCCTAGGTGTGAGTGAGCGCGGATGGTTGTTTGTCTCTGTGTGGCCTGCGATTGGTTGGCAACCAGTTCAGGGTGTCCCCTGCCTACTGCCGTAAGACAGCTGGGATAGGCTCCAGCACTCCCCGCGACCCTTGTGAGGAAGCTGGTCAGAAGGTGAGATCAACTTCATATATTTGTCAATCATCACTTTTCAGGATAACTTGACCCACAACTTTTGTCCATCTTGTTCGTCATCATTCTTGCATTATTAAGTCACCCATTATGAAGGCACCCGAGGGGGGAGGGTAGCACCATAGATATTGTTGGACATAATTAGTCAAAAAAGAAACTAAATATGCAGCACCGTGCCCTAGTGGTTAGCTCATAATTGAGAGGTTCAAATTTCAGAAGTTTGGAGTTTGCATGTTCCTCCGGCTTCTTCCCACACCCCAGAAACCTGCATGGTTGGTTTATGGCAGACTCTAAGTTGTCCATAGGTGTGCATGTGACTGTGTATGCTTGTACCGTATGTCTATGAATGCCCTGCGATTGACTGGCAAATAGTCCACTGTATAGCCCACCTCTCAAATAGCAAAAAGTGAAATATAAAATGGGCGGATAGAAGAAACTAAATATGCCTTGGCAGAGTGCGGCCTCTGTGTGAAAAAGAACACCACAGAGACTACTGCAGGATACAGATTATAACGTGCCCTTACACCTCCACTTTGGAAGTGAAATTAAATAGGAAAATGCATAGAAGTAGCAGTACCTCGAGGCCTTATTTGTCAGTGAGTGCTCACAATAAAGTGTTGCAGAAATATGTTTCTCTTGCCACTGTGATATGGCCCGCAGATTGTTTCCCCTTGACCTTTTCCCCAGATGTTTCCATTGTTATTCTAAGAACAGAGGCTGACACTTGAGTGGAAATAAAGCACATGTCACAGATAAACCTATCAGTATACTTCATTTAATCGGGAGGCACCTTTTAACTTTTTATGCGGTAAGGCTGCTCTCCAGGAGTTGTGAGCTTGCACCTGCTTCGCGAATGTGGGAGGTGGAGGTTGGAAAACATGATGATAGTATCACACTTTGACTGTATAATACGTGAGATTTCACATCATATTTAGAGGTCAGAGACCACAGTTGTGCTCGAGAAAATCGGAATACCCCTAAAGTAGGATATTCTTTCACATAGCGTCCCAGTTGCCCCAGGTTTCTGTTTTATCTCATCCGCTCAATGGACACTTCATTAGGTAAATTTGCCCAATCATAAGATCCACTTCAAGAGCGGGAGCAATCATTTTTTGTTGTTTATTCAGCAATTATCTGTTCTACACCCCCTTCAAATGACAAAATTAAAAGTCTTCTTTAATAATATTGAAATGCCATGATGACACGAGGGTTTAACGTTTGTGCTGCAAACATCCGAGCAAGGCACCAAACTCCCAAAGCTGTCCCTCCATTACTGACTTCTACATACAATATTGTTTTTTCTTAGTTTTTGTTTCTTTTTGGTTTTATTGCTGCAAACAATATCGAGCAGAGTCTGTCTAGTAGTTCACTCGCCTGACTTCCGTGGAGGCAAAGTTGACTCAGTTGCCACTCAGTGGCTGTGTGAATGGGTGTCTGTGTCTATATTGTAAGTTCTCCATGATCGACAGCCAGGATGTTGTCTGACTTTCACCTAATGTCAGTTGGCATAGGTTCCAGCTCCCCTGTGGGAGTGTGACAGAAAACGGGTGTGTGGATGGATTAAAATCATACCACACAAAATGTAAATATAATCTAAAAATATTATCTCTGCTTACTCAAAATATTTTTTTCAAAAGTGTGCAAGATAACAGGCCTTAAAAGGCTATATGTGCGTGTGTACGCACTCACGCACACACACACACACACACACACACACACACACGCAGACACACACACACTTCCTGCCAATGCAGGCTCTGTTGCAGCAGCTCGTCACCGCAAGAATATCGCTGTGGCCCACAGCAGAGTCAGTGGAACGGTACATGACAAAAACTCTGTTTGCTGGTTGTCTTTCTTTTCAGTAAGTAATTTACATTTAATACAGACAAGTTATTCAACAAAAAAATGTGCATACTAATCTTATTTCCTGTGTTGTCACAACACTCGATGACAGCCTTTGACTTTTTTTTTTCAATGATTCATAATGACCTTGACCTAAGCAAGTGACCAAGGACCAGTGAGACATTCATGCATCCATCCATTTTCCAATCCGCTTTTCCCCAGAAGGGTCGTGAGCATGCCGGACTCTATCCCAGCCGTTGTGGGGCAGTAGGCGGGGAAAACCTTGAAGTGGTTACCAGCCAATCGCAGGGCACACATAGACAAACACCCATTCGCACTCATACTCATACCAAGGGACAATGTGGGGGGA